TTAACGTAAGTGAATAATTTGACATAATTAATAGTATTATAATTTTGTAGTAATTTGTTTTCGCAAGTTTTCTTTTTTTAATATTAGCTTTATTTATATCATATTCTGATAATAAAATTTATAGATTTTCAGTAAACTAATGAAAAAAGTCATAAAGTAAAAAATTCATATTGTTATTTAATTAATTGACATTAATTTGTTTTTCGTACATATAAAAGTACATCTACACCTAAGTACTTTTGTAGAGTAATAAATAACAACAAGTAACAAATGACAACTCATAAAGAAATTTTGTTAATATTGCCATGTTAAATAACATGGCAATATTAACCCAACTGTTAAAAAATATAAAATTTGATAGCATGCATCAATATTGAAATAAATTATTGTTATCTCAATATAATATTCATTAACATGGCAAATACGATCGCGGTAACTTGCTTGTTGCGATAATGTTGTTGGCAGTACAAACGTAATGAACAATATTCAACAAATGAATGATCACAGAAGTTATAGAAAGCTATAAGAGCTTTTGTGTTGTGGAATGTAGCTTCACTAACTTCGATGTGGGTGCACCTAAACACCTTCATATCAATAGCTTGGAAACTCTCAGAAAAGGTGCGATCTCAATATCAAGAGGGAATAAGTATTCAAACTGTCGGAAAGAAATTGGTTTCAACTCCCGTAGGCTATCGCTTGACACAGATCGTCAGCATGGCAATCGTAAATGGTTGTTACTACGGTCTTATATTTATTCATAATAATGGTCGGAAGCACCAACTTATTCGAAATACAAAAATTTATCTTTGACAAATGAAGAAGGCTTCATTCCTATTTAAAATATGGTATAATAACTACAGCAAACTATACAATTTAGTTAATTGCAAACATATAATACCTATATTATGTATTAAAACTAATGGGAAATTTTTAGTCCAAAGAATATACATATGAATTGGTGATCCATTATATTATAATAATATTCGATAGTGGAAGTCGCGGGCTGATTTTCTTATTCAGGTTGAAAATAGAATTACTAACATTTTCTTCATAGATTCGATCTTGTAGCACTTTTGATAGATCAAGTACCCATTTATTATTATAATACAGCATAACATTAATACTATAACTATATATATAACTGAAAAATGGCGCAACTATTGTTTTAAATATCCATAATACCTAGTTTGTTCCTTCATCCAAAAGTTGACTATGACTAGTAAAAGAAAAAAATACAATATTAAATAAGGAGAGTCTTCTGAAAACCGGAAAACGTAAGAAGTATGTAATTTCTGACCTGAGACCTATCTCAATACTTTCCGCCTTATCTAAAGTATTGAAGCACATTGTACACAAGCAACTATCCGTTTATTTATCTAGGTATAACTAATCAATCTGGTCCTGGTCACAGCACAGTTATTGCACTTATCAAAGTCACTGATGGTATACGCTGAGCAACCACTCCCTCAAACTCCTTGTTTTATTGGACTTCAGCAGCGCCTTTAATTCTGTTGACTATGACATTCTTTTAAGTATACTTTCATCTCTTAACATATCTCCACTTGTAATCAATGGGTTAAATTCATATCTTTAGGACCGATTTCAATGCGTACACTATGATGACGTATACTCAGGTTGGTGTAAGGTTGCATCTGAGGTCCCACAAGGTGGCGTTCTTTCCCCGCTTCTTTTCTCAGTAATTAGTAATTACTCAAATCATTTCTTCTCCCTACCATCTCTATGCAGACTATTTGCAACTATACCAACACTTTGAACTCTGTGACATCTCTGAGGATATTGATCATATAAACCATGATTTAAATAAAATATCCAAATGGGCAAAATCCTACGGACTTCTAGTCAACCCCCGTAAATCTCAGGCGTTAATAATAGAGGGGCATCTAGTGCACTTGATATTGATATTTTACCTCCTATTTACTATGAGCAATCTCCAATTCCGTATGCTAAAAGTGCCAAAAATCTTATCGACAGCAACTAATCCTGGGGTGAACATATCAATGGAGTAAGTAGGAAACTATTCTATTCTTTTCACTCGCTCAAACGTTTTCAGAAACTTTTGCCCATTGAAACTAAAATCACACTCGTCCAAGCTTTATTACTACCTCTTCTTGGTTATGCTGGCGTATGTTATCTGAATGTCACAGAGGAACAATTAAATAAATTGGAACGGCTACAGAATTTATGCATATATTTTATTTATGGACTTAAAAAATACGACCATGTCTCCTCTTACAGAAGCACATTAAAATGGCTCCCAATTCGTCAACGTCGTGATTTTCATCTTTTATCTTTCTTGTATTCTGTACTGTTTAATTCCTCCTCCCTATCTTATCTTTGTGAACGGTTCAATTGTCCCGACTGACATGTCCAGTAAGTCGGGAGAAGTCTTAAAATCCCTCCTCTTACCTCCTCATGCTATAGTGGATCATTTACGGTTCATGCGGCTAGACTATGGAACGCTCTTCCACTGCATATTCAGTGATTGACTGTCACTTTTCGTGAAAGTCAATCACTGAATATATTCAAGAGTAGATTAAAAGAGCATCTTCTGTCCTCATAATTTTATTATGTATATGTCTATATATCTATATATTTCTATATATGTATATGTACGTATTTTGTATGTGAAGAAATATTTTATGTTTATAAATATGTATTATTATATACAGATATGTATGTATTGTGATTTTAATTATATGAGTTACTTTGTATATATGCCAACATATTTATTATTTCTTAATAGAAACAACTATACTGTTTCCTATTATTGTAGAGACACTGCTCGTTGGTAATTAATGCTCCTTTCCACTCAGGGTTTGCTGGAAGAGAACTCTTACAGAGTTAAGCTCGCCTGTTGTACATATTTATTTAAAATATATGTTTGTATTTTTTGTGTACAATAAAGAATAAATAAATAAATAATTTATAGATCAAAATAGTTAAAAATGTCGTCTATGTTAAATTTTGTAACGTATGTGAATGGACATTTATTTTCAAACTATAAGACATTAACACAACAATTTCTAATACTAGGTTACATGTATATACGTGAGCATTCCACATGTATATACACGAGTTTATTAGAAAACTATTTACTCTCGGGATACTTTGAATATTGTGCTACCTTTGTGAACGCGACCATGAAGTTTATTATTATTAATAGCTGTAATATGCAGATTTACTAGGATTTCACTTTTATATTAATTAGCATAAAAAAAAAATATGGGAATAACCTTTTTGTCGGGTTAACGGTGATTACCATCATCATAAATAATTTTTATGATGGATATTAGGATATTAGGAATTTATTGGAAATAATTTTTCGCGGGTAGTAGTGAAAGCAGTAACAGCAAAATTGTGTGCTCTTCAATTTTATTTGTTTTTAAATTATAAAAATAAAAGACTAATGAAAATTAAAGTGTAATAGTGTAGATTGGTTACCTTTGCATTGTTTCCTATCACTTTTCACTATCTTTAATCCTTAATAATAACATCATTTGTAAACTATGGATTTATACAACCAGTTGGCCAACAATATGGAGGAACTTTGCAGCACATTTCAGTCCCGTATGACTCAATATGAGGTTGGCTTAAAGCAATTGTCCCAATCCACTGAAGAGCATCCATTGAACAGTCTCCCTGCTTTAAGTAAGGATTATAAGGATTTTAAGCAACTGGTGTGGACCTCTATCAGGGCTATCAAGTCTCAAATGGAACTCCTTTGTCTTGGACTGGCTAGACATGAAGCGGCATCACGCAGGAAAGTTCTTCTTTTCCATGGAATAGAAGAATCAAAAGATATTAAAATGGAAGTGCAAAAAATTATAACTGAGCGTCTGAAGTTGCCAGAAATTTCATCTAATGATATTGCTACCTGCCATTTTCTTGGTTCTGATAGTGAGAGAAGTCGACCGTTGTTGGTGCGGTTTCAGCAATATAAACACCGTGATCTGGTTTGGAAGACGAAAACATCTCTTAAAAATTCCGGTATAACCATATCAGAATTTCTTATTAAGTCTCGACATGATATGTTCGTTGCAGCTCGAAAACACTTCGGTGTTAAAAATTGCTGGACGACTGAAGGTAAGATTGTTGTTCTTCTACCAGACAAAAGCCGGCAAAAGATAGAAGTCATGTCAGAACTCCGTACACTGATGGCTAAATTTCCAACTGCTAGTTCCACTTTGGGCTCAGGTCAAGAAGCCTGTTTAAAGCCTCTAAACAACATAATCGATTCTACTCCTGTAAAGGCTGCTAAAGCTGGTAGATCTAAGAGAATTTTCAAGTAATTTGTGGCTCCCACATAGTATTGAGTATAGTAGTTGTGGAAGTTGTTGTTGTTGAAGTCAATCTGTTTCACTACGATATCTCTTACAATTGCGTGTTGAATTTCTAAGTATTCCATAATGTATGTTTTAAAATAGTAATTTTTATTTTATTTTACTTTCTTAGCTGGTATATAATGAAATTATTGTTATTTTCCAACCTTCAATTATAAATTATGTACAATAACAAAATTTTGTCAAGTCCGTCAGTCAGTCAGTCATTCTAATGTCATGCCTAATGTCTTTTTTTTCCTATATGACCGATTTGGATTATAACTGCAATTGCTATACTCAATCTATGCTAAGATTAATGGTTCGATTGCGTTTTGTTTTGTCTTTCTTTTACTTACATTTGATAAATTAATTTTGTGTTTGTAAGTTTTTATTTTATATTAAATTTTAATCTACAGATTACTTTGATTGTTGTGTTGTATTAATCTTTATTAAGCTAACATTGTAATATTAAGTATGTTGTTTTATATACGTTTCATTAATATTAATAACAGTGAATCCAATATCTTTTTTGTATAAGTGCAAAGGTGCATTGAGTTATGCTATTTTGGTTACATTTTGTCTTATTTTATAATTTTTTAATTATAAGTACAGTATATTATTATATATTATTCATATTTATATATTTACTTATTTGATAATATGTCAACATCTTTCATTGATGATGACTTTTTTTCCTGCTCATCTAAGTCCTCTTCTGATATAAGTTATGCCAGTGCTTTTGCTCACGATGTTTCAATTTCTCTCTATGCTCAGCTAACCAACTTAATGTCTTCTAACTGTAAAAATAACCTGAATATAGTGCATATTAATGCCCAGAGTGTCCCTGCTCACTATGACGATCTTTTGTCTGCTTTTGACTCCAAGATCGTTGATGCAGTACTTATTTCTGAATCTTTTCTGAAGCCTCCCTTGCTATCTACTCAGTTTTCCTTGCCTGGCTTCAGACTTATTCGAAATGATAGGGTGGGGGCTGGTGGTGGTGGAGTGGCTATTTATCTACGGATGGATATCTCATATAAAATTATTGAACAGTCTCCTAGTATTTATTCACAATCAGCTGAATACCTCTTTATCGAAATTAACTGTCATTACTCTAAATTAGTTCTCGGCGTATATTATAGTCCTTCCTGTCACATCGACTATTTCTCCTCTTTTGAAAGCAACTTAGAAAACCTATCAACTCTTTATGACCATACCATCATTCTTGGTGACTTTAATACTTGTTTAATTAAGGATGATCATCGCTCCCATAAACTTCGCTCTATAATTTCATCTGTAAATCTACATTTACTTCCGTTATCAGCTACTCACCATGCCCCACACAGCTCCCCATCCCTACTTGACCTTATTATTGTCACTAATCCCGATAATGTGGACACCTTTGGACAAACACCTTCCCCATTTTCCTACCATGATCTGATTTTCGTTTCCTATAAACTACGTATGCCCAAACGTCATTCTAAATTTCTCTTCCTGCGTAATTTCAAGGGTATTGATTTGAACCTACTGAGTTCCGATGCAAGGAAAATCGATTGGTCCCCTGTTTTAGACTGCCCTGATATTGATGGTAAAGTTGCAGCCTTAAATAGTATCCTAATTCACCTCTACGATGTTCATGCTCCTCTACGACGTATTAGGGTTAAACATCTTCCAGCTCCTTGGTTAGATGAAACAATAAAAACTTTTATGGCTAAACGTGATAGAGCCAAGAGGAAGTATAGGAGGTCTCCGACGGAATGTAATTTAATTACTTATAAAAATTTACGCAATCGCTGTAGTAGAATGTGTAGGGATGCTAAACGTCGCTACATATATAACTCCTTGAATGGTCGCAGTCTTGATCAAATGTGGAAATTCTTAAAGTCACTCGGGATTGATTGATTGAATCCTCTATTTCGTTTAATCTTAATGATATTAATAACCATTTCTGTAAATTACCCACACATCTTGACGATAATGTCAAACTTACTACTTTAGATCAATTATCAAAAATGCCCAGGCCTGAGTGCGAATCCTTCTCTTTCAGCATGATTACAGAGTGTGATGTTAAGAGGCACCTCCTTACCATTTCTTCCAAAGCGACGGGTGCTGACGGAGTAGGCACACAAATGTTGCACCCTATTATGGATGAACTTGTATCAATTATTACACATATAATAAATTTTTCTCTTGATACATGTTCTTTTCCAGAACTTTGGAAGAAAGCCTACATCATTCCTGTCCCTAAAACATCTAATCCATCTACTCTAACTGATTTTAGACCTATCTCGATTCTACCCGCTTTGTCAAAGTTATTAGAGCAAATAGTTCATAAACAATTGTCCGTATATCTGTCTAGTAATAATCTGCTAAGTCCTTTGCAATCTGGTTTCCGCCCTGGTCACAGTACAGTCAGTGCTCTTGTCAAAGTCACTGACGACATACGCCGGGCTATGGACAACCACTCCCTCACACTCCTTGTTCTTCTAGTCTTTAGCAGTGCCTTTAACTCTGTAGATTATGATATTCTTTTAAATATCCTTTCATCCCTTAACATATCTCCACCTGTAATCAATTGGTTTAACTCTTATCTTCGGGGTCGACTGCAGTGTGTTCGCCATGGTGAGGATACCTCAGATTGGTGTGCGGTTACTGCAGGAGTCCCTCAAGGCGGCGTATTATCTCCTCTTCTTTTCTCTGCATTTATCAATGCTATAACTCATGTAATTTTTCTTCCTACCATCTCTACGCAGACGATTTGCAATTATATTTTCATTTTAATCTTTGCGACATATCTGAAGCAATTGATGATATGAATTTTCAGCTGCTTAAAATATCGGAATGGGCTAGATCCTTTGGGCTTCTAGTTAACCCGCGAAAATCCCAAGCTCTCATTATAGGTAGTCATCGTAATTATAAAATGCTTGATCATGATGCTTTGCCTCCTGTTTACTATGAAAATGAGTTAATTGCATATGCTAAGAAAGCAAAAAACCTAGGTGTTATAATTGATTGCAATTTATCCTGGAATGAACACATTAATGGGGTCAGCAAAAAGCTATGTTTTTCATTTCATTCTTTTAAACGATTGCAAAAATTCTTACCATTTAAGACAAGGCTTACTTTGGCACAAGCTCTACTGTTATCTCTTCTTGATTATGCCGACATATCCTACCTTGATGCAACTGAAGAGCTTTTAAACAAATTAGAGAGATTACAGAATTTGTGTATACGTTTCATATATGGTCTGCGTAAATATGATCATGTCTCCGCTTATAGAACAAAATTGAATTGGCTGCCAATTCGAAGGCGTCGAGACTTTCATATAATGTCGTTTTTATATTCCGTTCTATATAACCCTACTTTTCCCTCCTATCTTCGTGAACGTTTTGATTTTCTAGTTCCCCATGACGTGTCCTCCCGTTCGACGAAATCTCTTATCCTCAAACTCCCTTCACACTCATCTACGCGCTATAGTGGATCTTTTACCGTCCATGCTGCTAGATTGTGGAATTCTCTTCCCATATCTATCCGTGAGAGTCAATCCCTAAATATTTTTAAGAGTAGACTTAAAGAGCATCTTCTATCTCTATGAACATATATTTATTTATCTATATGTGTAGGTATATTGTATGTATATGTGTATGTATATGTAGGTTTATGCATAGATGTCGGTATATATTTATGTATATGTATGTGTGTATTTGTACTATATAATATAATCTAATTAATTTAATTTTGGCTATTTAAAAATTGTACACTGCTGTATCCGCTGACATTGATGCTCCTTTCCACTTTGGGTTTGCTGGAAGAAAACTCTATCAGAGTTAAGCTCGCCTTTGTACTTTTGTTTACCTCTGTCATATTTTTATAACTAATGTGTACAATAAAGTATTAAATAAATAAATAAATAAATTTCTTGAATTCGACTTTAGAATCGAAATAAAAGAACAGAATAGTATACCACTAGATCATTAATGTTATATCATATAACTTAAGCTACTTAATGGAATATGTGATTTAAATTACTGTTAACTTGAGAACATGGATTTGACATTAATCTGATTTCCTCCCACCCACTTAAATCCAGCTTTCTCTCCTGAATATCATTCGATCATATCGTAGGTGTATACCTAAATCTGATTGTAACCGAAAACTGCAGATTTTTCTAAATATATAGAAACTTCTCGTAACAAATTCCTAGGATCTAAAAAAAAGAAAAAACGTGCTTAATCTGCAAATACTTTGAACTCAGTCAAATAACAAAAATTTAAGCAATAAATTTTTAGATATATACAAGTAGAAAATGCTATATAGTATATAGCAATCTATATACGAGGTTTGTCCGGAAAGTACGTATAAAAGTTTTTTAAAAATTTTATTTTACAATTATTCAGGTAAATCAATTTTATCCCCTTCAAAGTACTCCCCCTGTGACATAATGCACTTGTGCCAACGCCGTTTCCACTGTGAGAAGGCTCCTTGAAAGTCCTCTGGTTGTAGGTTTCTCAGCTGCCCCGTCGTAGCTTTTTTTATCTCATTTATGTCCCCCAAATGCCGCCCCCGAAGTACCAATTTGGTTTTTGGGAACAAGAAGAAGTCACACGGGGCCAAATCCGGCGAATAGGGGGGGGTGTTCGGTCACCGTAATGGAATTTTTACTCAAAAACTCACGGACAACAAGAGAGGTGTGGGCAGGGGCATTGTCGTGGTGAAGAATCCAACGCCCCTCTCGCGCCAATTCTGGACGAACTCGTGCCACACGAGCTTTGAGGCGTCTGAGCACATCGACGTAGAATTTTCCATCAACTGTCTGGCCTGGAGGGACGAATTCTTGATGGACAATCCCCCGAACATCGAAAAAAACAATCAACATTGTCTCGGCCCTCTCTGAATCTTTTTAGCCACTTGTGGACGGTTGGTTCCTTCACAGCATCATCCCCATAAACTGTTCTGAGATCGGCAAAAATTTCACGGCCATTCTTGCCGAGTTTCGAGAGAAACTTGATTACGACGCGCTGCTCTTCAACGGAAGCGGGCTCCATGCCGACGGGGTTTCGTTAAGAGGTAACTTCACAGATGGCGTGACAAGCCAGTTCGCACCGCACGGCGGTCAGACCAGAACTGAAGCATTGTTAGGGACATAAGGAAGGGGTCCTGCGCTTACCTGGCCTCCCCACTCCTCTTTCTCGCATTCCAGAACACTTTTATACGAACTTTCCGGACAGACCTCGTAATCAACATCAATAATCCTGTAGACATGAATAAATATACGAAACACGTAGTAAAATTAAATATTTACCCAAATTCCAGACAAAGTATGAATATATCGTCACAGAAATATGTGTTTAGGGTTCATAAACGAAAATTCAAACTACGCATGAGATACGAGTAACAAAATTAAAAGTTTTTTAAAGAAATTTCAATAAAAAATATTTACTTGTTTAATTTTTTTTTCTATTTGAATCCTGTTTTAGAATTATTATTCTTAAATTGATGATTTTTATAAAATGAACCGCCTAGCAACTTGGTCTAACAAGTATTGGACCCGCATCTTTCAACTATTTGAACCCGCTTAGTTTCATTCATCCTCATTGTCCACCATTTTTTTTATATAAAATAATTGATCACTTTGCTAAAATAGATAATAGATATCTAAGAAACGATAATCAGTCATTATATCCTTGTTACTGCAATGAATCTCCTGTAAAAGTTATATTTCGAAAAATAGGGAATAACTGTGTTTTAGTTTGAAATGTAGGGTATGATATTTAAATTACAGGATACACAGACATAACATCTTAGTCCTCAGAAATTACCATGGGATATCACGGAAATAATAATGTATTCTGTAATATCCATGGTTCTGTTCGTATCTATAGGGAACAGTTACCACTTTCTACTATATAAGCCGTATATTCAATATAATTATGAACAAAAATAAATGAAAAATACGCACACGCTTAAACCTAAATGGTCACGTAGAGTGTGGTTTCAAAGAAATTTTCTTCCACTAACGCTCAGGCTGTGGAATGAGATCCCCGCGGAGGCTTTCCCTAGATACTTCAGTATGAGGTTGGAATGGGTATATTAAGGTTTCTTCAGGGTCGGCAACGCGAACGGGATATTCCTGGTCTTGCAGGCATTCATAAGTTACAGTAACAGTTTACCTGGCTGGCTGTATGGCTGTATGCTTCTTTGCCATTTTTGTGGTATAAAAAAATATATAAAGATTGAGTTTGATGAGTATAGTAAGACAAAGTTTCTCAACGAAGCTTCTATAAAACAATTCATTGTGTATTGTCAGATGGCATATATTAGATGAGCCGTAACCTTGTCTGACGCCTTCGAAGAAGAGATCAAAGTGATCCCTCAATATATTAATACTTAAGGTGTATTCTTTTTAGATGTATTGTACGCATTACTCAAGTTCATTCGACTCCTTGCTTCCTTTGAGTTGTTTTCCACTCGAAATATTTCATATTTTTTATGATTATAGCTCTTTTATATGAAATAAAAAACATGATTAAAATTGTGTTCCACAAAAAACCGACTTCAGTTGTAACAAAACCAAATGTTTTGATTTAAAAAATAAAATACTGAACCGACTTTGATAAAATTTCTATCGGACCAATCTGTAACCTAACTTGTAATGAAAAAAATTTTTAAGCAACGTGTTCTGCTCAATCCTAATGATTACCGAAACGAAATTTTTTTCAAATTTTTTTGATTCTTGTTTTTGGTCTACGAACCTGGAAAAAAAGTTTCTAACTTAACCACTATATGGATCGGATAGCATGTTCATTCGACTTTAATTTGCTTTTTTGCAAAGTTCGATACGACTACTTCTCGCCGAGATATCGAACTTTAAATAAAAAAGGATCTTTTTGTCTTTAACCATCAATATCTCAGCAACCGCTAATTACACAAGGAAATTAAGGAGGGTTTTGAAGTCTTAAATAAATTTCCGACAAAAATCAGCTATGGTTTTTCTAAAAAAAATTTTTTTTCTTTACATTAATTTGATTAATCAAGAAAAAAAGGACTTTTGGTGACTTTTGGGATAATCAGGAGCTAAGATGGAAATACCGAGAAAACCAGTAATATTGAGTATGCCTTTTACAGTTCAAATTACCCACAAAACCCCCACAAAGTTTCGATTCAATCCATCGAGCCGTTTTTTTGTTTTATTCGATCGAATTTTTAAAAAAGTTAAAGGATCACGATTTTGACTTTAAATGATCATAATCTTTAACAAAATGCAAACAAATGTTTTTCAGTTTTTTTTATGCATTTTTATTGACAAAAATGTTTAAATTAATGGAACAAAATATTAAAAAAAATAAAAAAAGATTTAGAAAAATTTGGGATTTGTTTGATGACTTTTTTTATACAACTTAGAATGGCAAATATGGCCCACCTGATGATAGAAAGTAGTAACCGTCGCCTACGGACATTTTTGTCAATAACATTGCATAAAAAAAAGCTTCTGTACTTTTAGTGTAAATAAGTACAATAAAGTCGTATTTGTTATCTAACGTTTATATCTTGTTGAAAGGTGAAAATCAACTCACATTTTATTATAATAATAAGTAACTTGGAACACAATAATTAACTTGGAA